AGGTACAGAATGTCGAAAGGTACAGAATGTCCAAAGTGTAGAATGTCCAAGGTACAGAATGTTCAAAGTTTATAATGTCCAAGGTACACAATGTCCAAGATGAGAAATAGCTTCCAAAATGGCGCAAAGTGCAAGGGGCCCGTTTCATAATGGCCGATGTACAGAATGTCCAAGGTACAGAATGTCCAAAGTAAAAAATATACAATGTGCGTATTGGCCAAGGTACAGAATGTCCAAGAACCAGAGCTTCCAAAATAGTTCTTGGAGCGGCCGCCAGGGTGTGAATAGTCGCCCTTATTGGTAGGCAGCGTTGCTCCGCCCAGCGTCGGGCGCGCGCATACAGTCAACGCCAGTGCAAACACTACAAGCATGCGGTCGGTGGGTCGCACGGCAACGGATTCACTTCCCACGCCGGTGTAGGAATGGTGTGGGATGCTGTTAGTCGGCAAGGCCGCGCTCGACTTGCAAGTGTTCTTTGAATACGAGACGAGTACCGTGGAGTGGGGCGTTGGACACGCGCGGAGCTGCTGTGAGAGCGTAGCAGCGTTGCCCTTAGCCGACGTGGAACTTGTTCTGTGCCTGACGGGGGCGTGTTCGCTGTTTGGTCACAGCTATATGCAGCTAGGAACTCTTGTTGCAACTGTTGTTTATTCTAAATGATCGCTGTCACATTTTCACCACGTTTAGCCTGCAGCGCCCAACGGAGTAAACCTTGCAAGAAAGGAGAAAGTATGGGTATCAATAATATATGCTTCCTGTTGGGTTAATAGCCTGTTTCTTATCAGTTATCACAGGAATCTAGGTCAAATGTGTAACATTTTACAAAGCACGCTGCCTTACAACTAATCGGGTATGGTTCAATGGCTGGCCATTTGTGGTCAAGATACTGCATTTGATACCATTTCGAACAATTAGCTGGTGCATTCAAGAGATTGGCGGAGACTTGTTATTGATGTGGATTCCCCACATCAATTTATTGGGTCTGGCAGGGACGGCGCCAGGAGATATAAGCTGAAGAAAGGCTTTGTCAGGGGGCTTCCTGAACAACATGAAGTCTCCTTTCAGAGGGGGGGGGGGGGGGCCGCCTCCAGGCCTGGTCCTTTTGAAGCGGGTACCGAGGCATGTGACATGTGAGTCCTCATTGGACTGGACCATGCATTAATATTCCTGTAAATCAATGTTGACAAGAAAAATCCAGAATAGTGGAGTGCGTAAATGTTTAACTGTGTTAAAGTTTGGTTTCAGCACGTAAACGTGACACCGGTCAAGTCGTGAACTAGTAACCCTGAATAGAGGACCAAACGCATATAAATACATCCGAGTTGTCAAAGAATGGCTTTTGTCCTCTACGCTCGTCCATTCACTCCCCCGAGCCGGTAACTCATAAAGGAACGAAGCAGTTTCACCGCTGACGAAGCAACAACGGTGAGCTTGTCTCCCGAGCCGGGAAAGATGAGGGTCAGAAAAATTATGTTCGGAAGGCTTAATGCCCGGAAGGTCTTTGCGTGGAATACCAATACTCGGACTGTCCAGGCTCAAGAGACTTTGGAAGAACATTCTACTCCCCCAGATGAGACCCTAAGAGGAAATGGGGCAAATAGCGAATGTGGAGCGCTGAGAGCGAATAACGGAGGGACTCAAACCTACCTACACTGTTACATGTGGCCTGGTCAGCATGCACTAACTGATTGAGCTACGGCGGCATTTCTGGTACTAAAAGTCCCACCAGTCCAAGAAGAGGCACTGATTAACAAGTGTGAAGGGAAGCCTTCATCTGGTGCGGCGGAAGCGGCGAAATGGCCGCAAGAGGCGAGGAACCGCGGAAGCAGAAGCGTTTTTGGCGAGAGCCGTGTCGGGGAGGGGGAAACGGCGAGGGGGCGCGTAGCTTGGAGGGCAGGGTACCGAGGTGTGTGCGCTGTTGGAGGCCAGCAGGAGTGACGTGCTGCGTGGCTCAAATATATAGCATTTTTGAGATCCGCAAGCTGCTTCTTACAAGTCACGAGATCCCGCCAGGCTGAGAGGTGGCTGCAGTTAGTTTCATATATCTAGGAAGTTAGTTTGTAAAGTGGGCGAAATCTGAGGACAAATTCGGTTTTTTAGATATGCTCGCCCTGCAATGGAAGTCGGTGACACTGCCTTTGTTCATCGCATGAGAACAACTCAGAAATCCATCACTCGTTAAAAGAAAAAGTCAACGCTTACACACGTGGCAACCGTTAATGTTTACAACAATACTGTAACACACACACACGCGTGCGCACAAACACGCACGCACTCACGCACACACACACACGCACGCACGCACACACGCACGCACGCACGCATGCACGCACGCACGCACGTACGCACGCACACACGCACGCACACACGCACGCACTCACGATTTTTTTTCAATCATGAAATCTATGCCAAAAACACAGGTACGTCAGTACACTGGAAGTCACTTGGTTACGTCAAGATTTGACGCCAATATTTTCAAAATATTATGATAATTCAACAGTTCCAGGTAGAGCACGTGGTCACCTGTGAACAAGTTAACGCAACACGTGCGACTCAAAAGGCCTGTGAGTGATCACAACTGTTGCAAACCTGTGCAGATCCTGGCAAGAAAAAGTATTTAAAGAATCAAGCATGCAAGCTCCCATATCCTTATGATAGGCACACGGCACTATGGTAAGGCTTGCACGAGACCTCGATGGCTAGGCCGGAAGGTTTCGATGAACTGTATCACAGATCAGAAAGCAATTCATTGCAGGAAATCAGTGGCCAAATCAATCAGCAGACAACTATTGCTGAACGTACCTTACCTGAGCAACAGCGCCTACAATCGATATTCCACGATGGTGTTTGCGAGTTTATTCTCTGTCAAAGTTTACCGATACGCAGCGATTCTTATATCCTTGGTTCGCGTTATCTTATGAAGCTGCTGAGATGTGCGCTTAGAAGTTTAAGTATGTTATAATGTGTACCATTGGTGCATGTAGGTCCACTTCTTCCTCCCCTAATTGTGAGCGTACGCTCTCCGTGGACGTGTCTCCCCAGGTGTTCATTAAACAAGCCTGGGTGCCATGCATTGTTCTTCTCACCTACAATTTCACTGAAAAAGGTTGCAAGACATTTTGTGTACATCCTGTTCGTACGGAACCATAAACCATATATTGTGTATTCTGCTCTGTTCTGTACGTTTTACTTTTGGTTCATTGAGACCATGAGTGTAGGAACGGGGGGCCAGGGGACAGGGGCGGATCTAGCCTGGGGTTGTTTTTTTTTGGGGGGGGGGGGCAACCGTTCGTCGCCATCTGGCTGGTGTGGGATCCGAGGTCCAGTGCATGGTGCCTCTCGCAAGTACCTAGTAGGGACACCATTCAAGCACCGAAATGCTGTTGAATCTTAAACGGAAGTTAAAACAAACTGCCGCTCCACAAGAAACGCGATCTCGGCGACCCGAACGACTTCGCACCGATTATTTTATCGGTCAAAAGTTCTTACGCTGAGTTAAGGGCCTACAATATGCGAGGACGTACTGGTTAAACAACGTTATGGTGCTAAACAATGATCATGATGGCGGTGCCAAGCCGTGAGAGTGCATTGCTGCACACAGCCTATTTAAACTATTATGCGACTGCATGCTACCTCTGCTTCCTCTTCATTCCCTCCACAGCAATAAATACACTGAAAAGTGCTTTTCTGGACTTCCGCCCGGATGCAGATCGCTCTTCGCTGTCCCCTTGTGAAGATTCGGACAAGCTGCTTCGCCGCACTCGGCTCTTTCCGCTTGCAGCGACACCATGGTTTGTCAGACTCTGACATGTGCCTGCTGACCAGAGCGCCGTACTCGCCTGGTGTAAACTGTACTCGGCTGCTGTGATATGTTATTTCAGCTTTTATTCTCACCGTGGCATCGGCTGGCGGCAGAAGTAGGCATGTGCTGATCGGAGAGAAAAAGCCTGGATTGGGATGGTGCGACAAAAAATGCAATCAGTCGATCACTGTAATGGAAAGCAAAAATGGCCACGCAGGAGAAGCTTGCGAGCATCGATAGTGCACCACGCGTCTGATAATCAGAGCCGCTGTGTTCTATTCCTTGTGGTGTCCACCCTCCCTGCCAGAGTGAGAGGCGGGTGACACCAGGTAACCTCAGCAGCAGAGTGCGCCTCAAAGCCCCAACGGCAGGTGAGCAACATTAGGATTGGCGCCGAGAGTGAGCCAGCAACACCGTCCTCTGCTTACCGCCGAGTGGAGTGTCGGTCTTGTGGCCCGTTATTGGATAGTAGACCGTAAACCTTCAGAGTCATGCAAGATCCAAAGGCTCCCAAGTCTGTGGTAGCTATCGACGCATGTATAAGCTCTTTATTTTTGGAAGCGATATAAGAAACAGGCTCTTGATCAGTAAGGAGCATACACCATTTGCACCAACGCACATGATGCACATGACTGGTGAAAGCAAGGCCCTTGTAGGGCTACACAATCAGTTAACGTCACATTCCAATTCCACATCCAGTAAGCACAATAAAACACATAACGGCAAATTAACAGTAAACTAACTTGTTTAACTAGTCGAACACGTGATCTCCGCAAGAAGCAAATACTCGGGTTATTCGTCCGACTCGCGCGCATGCGCAGCACACCTCTCCACACATAGCAGCATGGCTTTTCATTAAGTTAGGCCCACAGCGGGCTGCCTGGCTGACTCGCACCATGCCTGACAAAGCCTTCCGGTCAGGCCCGCTTGCCACGACTTCGTCATGTTAACGGAGTGCCATCACAACATGTCAAAAAGGTTATCGGTCGTTGCGGGTGCCTCGTTCGGCTTTCTTACACAGGAGAGCGCCCGCTCGGAATTATTCACTGGCTGTGGCATGGAGCAAACTCGGCTGACAACAAAGACGTTCTCGAAAAGCATTGTGATGTTTCCCTTAATGTTTATCTGCGTTTCCAGGAATGTCATTTGCCATTAGGCTGTATTGGTAAACCATCGACAGTGCCAGTGTGCTCCCCCCCCCCCCCCCCCACAGTTTAGTCAACCCGCTCGTCTGGACACATACCCGGCCCACTGAGAGCAGCTGTCCTGCCAGAGTCCGCGATCTCAGATGCGACACGGACCTAGCTCACACAAGCGAAGGCCCCTTGCTCCGCCTGCCGCAGTCACGCGAGTCTCTACAACCGGCTCCGGCCGCCGCTCCGCGCCTGAGCCCTGCATGCCTGCCAGCCCGGCCATCAGCACTGGTCTGGCGCCAGTGTCCGGCCACGCGGCCTCCGCTTCACTCGGCGCCGTCGGCCGGGCCGGACCGCGTGCGCAGCAGCTCGGCCAGCTCCGGCCGGTGGCGCGGCTCGGCCGCCCAGCAGCGGCGCACGGCCGCCGCCAGCGGCGCCGGCACCGACGCCGGCAGCTGCAGCGGCGGCAGCGCGCGCCGCGACACCGCCTGCGCCACCTGCTCGTCCGAGAGCGATGCGTGCGGCAGCTCGCCCTGGCGGAACACCTCCCAGCAGAGCACCGCCCACGCCCAGACGTCGGAGCGGGCTGAGAAGGCGTCCTCGAGCGCCGCCTCCGCCGGCAGCCAGCGCAGCGGCAGCAGCCGGCCCCGCAGGCGGCAGTACTCGCGGCTGTAGGTATCGCGCGACAGCCGGCCGCAGCTGATCCTCACCTCCAGCTGGCTGGTGATCAGGCAGTTGCGCGCCGCCAAGTCCCTGTTCGGCGCGCCGCGCGAGGGCACGTCACAACGTATGTACAATGGCGGGCTCTGCATCTGGCGCGTTGAGCGCACACCACATATAAGTGCACGGCAATTATTCGTCCGACAAAACATGCTTAAGTCCGTGCGTATCAGTCCTCAGACAGCCATAAGCTTCGATCAAACAGAAGCACGATACATAGTAACGCAAAGAAACAAAACAACTCGTTACATGTCTGAAGCCAGGCGAAACAAATTATACCATCGCTAAACAATCCCCGTAATCAATTAACACTCAGTTCCAGTGATCGCCTGAGTCGCTCCGTCATGGCCTGGCCTGTCTGTGCTAGCGGAGTTGTGGCCCACTGACCTGTGTATAAAGCCGGCTCGGTGGATGTGGTCCAGGCCGGCAGCCACCTGGTGGCAGAGGCTGGCGGCATGGGCGGCGCTAATCGGCGGGGGCCGCGGCGGCGCGCGGCTCGTCTCTGGCCGCGTAGCCAGTAGGAACTGCTTCAGGTCGCCCTGCAGCACAGCGGCACCACGTCACCGCCTGCTCCCCCACGGGACAGCGGAGAGCGCGAACGCTGAGCGACACAGTCTGTCGCAGCGCTCATGATGTCCAGCGCGGCGGACACACCGGCCGCTGTCAGCAACGCGCTGTGATCAACGGTTTAGTGTCCATCTCCCGAACACGCGGCCTGCCATTGATTTGCGCCGTAAATGAAAAAGATGCGGCGCTTTCACCTCGCCAAACTTTACCTCATGGTCTGCCATTCGCATGCAAATCACAGGTTTACCAACTGTATACACGTCACATACCACCGCCAGAGTTCCCCAGCGTATAGAGCGCCGTCAGTGCCGGAGTGTGGGCCGGGCCGGGCCGGGCCGGGCCGGGCCGGGCTGGGCCGGGCCGAGCCGGGCCGAGGTCCGCCCCACCTACCCAGTCGCTGTACTCGAGCACCATGAGGTGCGGCTGGCGGCCGGTACAGAGTGCCAGCAGCCCCACCACGGCCCGGTGCGGCGCCAGCCGGCCGAACAGCTCGGCCTCGCGCGCGAACTCGGCCGCCGCCCGGCCCTCCGGGCTCTGCAGCGACTTCACCATCACGATCGGCTCCGGGTCGACGGGGCCGCGCCGCCGCCGCACCCGCGCCAGGTACACCTCGCCAAACTCGCCCTGGCCTGGGACGAGGCGGGTGGCGAGGGTCAAGTCTGGAGTCATCCCCGCGCCGAATAAACTGCCATCGACAAGTGACGTACAGGGACTCGGATAGAGCAACGGGACAAGTCAGAATGATGCCGAATTTGAAGACTGTCCCTTCAGACAAAACACGTGTGATACTGCGCCATGGTCATACCCACGACAGAAAGTTACGAATGAAAAAACTAAATAAGACACACAACATTCTATATTTGAGCTCGCGCGATCCACCCGTTCTCAGAATCATAAGTCAAAACTTTCAGCAGGATTTCCGGCCACCAGCTGTCCCCAGCTTGCCCTTCCGCCCAGCAGAATATGATGCTATGCATTCCACATCACCCCGCGGCGTACCTCGACCATCTCCAGCGGTATATACCGCGCGTCTGACCCACCCGCATGATCGCGTCTCTGACCCACCCGCATGACACCGCCTCTGACCTACGGGCATGACCCCGCCTCTGACCTAGGGGCAAGACCCCGCCTTTGACCCAAGGGCACGACCCCGCTTCTGACCCAGGAGCACGACGCCGCCTCTGACCCAGGGGCATAACCCCGCTCTGACCCAGGGGCATGACCCCGCCTCTGACCCAGAGGCATAACCACGCCTCTGACCCAGGGGCATGACCCCGCCTCTGACCTAGGGGCAAGACCCCGCCTCTGACCTAAGGGCACGACCCCGCTTCTGACCTACGGGCATGACGTCGCCTCTGACCCAGGGGCATGACCCCGCTCTGACCTAGGGGCATGACCGCGTGCAGGTCGTGGCGCTCCAAGCCGTGCCACTGGTCGCTGCTGTCGGAGCGGCGGCTGGCCCGCCGGTCAGAGGCCGTGCCGATGCTCTGGTAGCTGTGGTAGCCGGACTGCGCCGACGGGCTGTTGTAGCCCGACGGAGTGCTCTCGCACGCTTCCCCGGCGCAAGCCGAGCTGACAGCCGTGTCTGGATGCTCTGTTTTCGCCACTGGAACACAGTCAGTGGGCTGGCTTGAGGGTGCGCCCGGGCCATGCCGCAATGCCAGTCCACTTATTTCTTCAAAGCACGCATATAATAATCATAGTGTCATAATCGCATCATACTAATTGCATATCACAACGTTATCTTCGATATGTCGTTTTTTTATACTCCCATGAGATGGCGGAAACATCAGAATACACAAAGCAGTGCCGGTAAAACCGACAGCACTCACGAAGGACGCTAGTGCCCTCTGTTGAGGTCCGCAGGTACTGCTGTTTTCGCTTGATGCGACGATAACGACACCAGAGCATGAGGCCGGCCACCAGCAGCAGGTACGCGGCTGCCGCCGACACCGTGATGACCACCGTCCGGGTCATGATGGCGCCATCATCCGAGGCCAGGCCCGGCGTCAGCGCCCCGCCCGACAGCTCGGCCTCTGAGGCTGCCGGCGTACCGAGGGAGGGGTGTCATCCGAGGCCAGGCCCGGCGTCATCGCTCCGTCCGACAGCTCGGCCTCTGAGGCTGCCGGCGTACCGAGGGAGGGGTGTCATCCGAGGCCAGGCCCGGCGTCATCGCTCCGTCCGACAGCTCGGCCTCTGAGGCTGCCGGCGTACCGAGGGAGGGGTGTCATCCGAGGCCAGACCCGGCGTCAGCGCTCCGTCCGACAGCTCGGCCTCTGAGGCTGCCGGGTACCGAGGAGGGGTGTCATCCGAGGCCAGGCCCGGCGTCAGCGCTCCGTCCGACAGCTCGGCCTCTGAGGCTGCCGAGGTACCGAGGGAGGGGTGTCATCCGAGGCCAGGCCCGGCGTCAGCGCTCCGTCCGACAGCTCGGCCTCTGAGGCTGCCGGGGTACCGAGGGAGGGGTGTCATCCGAGGCCAGGCCCGGCGTCAGCGCTCCGTCCGACAGCTCGGCCTCTGAGGCTGCCGGGGTACCGAGGGAGGGGTGTCATCCGAGGCCAGGCCCGGCGTCAGCGCTCCGTCCGACAGCTCGGCCTCTGAGGCTGCCGGGGTACCGAGGGAGGGGTGTCATTCGAGGCCAGGCCCGGCACCATCTGACCGCGCCGGCATCCCGGACTTCTACAGCCGCTGTGACCAGCCAGCTGCACACGCGTGCGTGGAACATTGCACGTGTGCGTGTGTGCGTGCGTGCGTGCGTGTGGAAGGTCTAATTCACGTTTCCCGATGATTTACATAGGGCAGATTCAAGTGTCCACGTCCCCACCATAAGATAATATCGTTCGTTCTGCGGCAGTCAGGCATAAGGACCTTCGTCGCCACCGCGGCTACCCGCCACCATGTTCTGTACGCGACCCGGGAAACACGTAAGCCCGATGCGGCACTCACAGCGCACTAGCAGCTGGATCTCACGACGCGAGAAGCCACCGCTGTTGCCGGCGATGCAGCCGTAGCGCGCCTCGTCCTCATATCGCAGCTCCTTGATGTACAAGCTGCCGTTCTTGAAGAAGGAGAACCTGAACACATTTGGCGATGTGAGCATACCAGAGTGGCCGCAAGAGGACGCAGGATACACCTGCTTTTTATCTGGGCTTCATCACGATTGTGGTGCGATACTAGCAGCACGTACCGCTCCGTATAGAGGATAACGCAACGGCAAGCGTTTCCTCATCAGCTAAAGTCTTACCATCCGGAGGTCGCTCACTGTCTCCTTGTCATCCACGAACATGAAGGCACATGGGTACGTCCGTGACAAAAATCATCTCCGGAACAGCACTGACTCAGGCCAATGGACGGGCACGGTCGCGCCGACTCTGAGGACCACAACGCTGCGAGCGGTGCAGCAGCAAGGTGCGGTAATCGCACTGTTCTGACCTGGGGTCATCGAGACCGGCCAGTTTGGAGTTGCGGTCCCACTGCACGCTGGGCTCCGGTCGGCCGTACACCTGACAGTCGAGCCGAAGGGGCCGGCCCACCACCGCCTCGGTAGGGTCAGAGGGCGCCACCAGAAACTTCGGCGTCACTGAAAACACCCAAGTCCGGGCCACGCGATGAATACATGTCAGCTGAAATCCGAAAAGCGGACAAAAAGTTTGGTAATTTTGGAAATAAATGTGGTTTCTCGAGTTTATTCAGTAGAATGTGCTATGAGTGAGGGAACCAGACCGCATGCAGTTGACGAACATGAGGCGATCATATCGCGCGTTTCACGTGGGCTAGTCAGCCAGAGCCGATAGCACAGTGGCTACTGAGCGAAGACAATATGGCCTGCTTCATATGGGGACAGGAACGGAAAGATGCTAGTTGCTGGCTTACGTCCCTTGCCTGTAGGGTTTGATCCTCCCCTTGTCCCCTACGAGAGCGGACGAGGTGACACCTTCCAGCCACCTCGTTGTCACCAACGCTGCCATAGTACAGCAGCTGCTGGTCAGTGGTCAGGTGTCTCGCATGTTCACCTGTCCTTGCCGCCGTACAGCAGTTGCTGGTCAGAGGTCAGGCGTCTCGCGTGTCCACCTGCCTTTGCTGCCGTACAGCAGCTGCTGGTCAGAGGTCCGACACGTCGCCCGACCTACTGCTCCACTCACCGACCACGGTGACGTTGATGGTGGCGTTGATGAGACCCTGGGCGTTGGTGGCCACGCACGTGTACTGGCCACCGTCCGTCTCCGTCACCGTGTCCAGCTCCAGTGTGCCGTTGGCGTCGCGCACGTGTGCCGGCCAGCGGAACTGTGGCCGGCCGGCCGGCGTCATCCGCACCCAGCCGACAGTGGGCGCCGGACTGCCCGCCGCCCGGCAGTGCAGCCGCGCCGGCCGGCCCAGCTCCAGAGCGCGGCTCAACGGCTGCGGCGAGAACTTGAGCTTCTCTGCCGGCCGACAGGTGACAGGTAGAGCGGGGAGTGAGGGAACGCGGGAGAAGCGCAGCTACGTTCTTGGCGAGGCTTGAGTAAGACCAGTGGAAAGGTTTTGACGCATTTTGGTGGTCAATGCGCTTAGCATCCCTGTAGGCTTAGTGGCAGCGGACACAACATTGATAAGATAAGCAAACCAGACGTTCCAATTTCCATGTCGGAGAACATGGCACATATACGGCGGAGGCATGTGCACGGGGAGTCAGGCTCCCATTCATTTCCCAACTTAATGCGATCTTTTCACTCCCAAGCATTTCACAATAGGACAAGCTGCGCGTCGGCCGAAGATGCCGCGGGGTCACTGCTTTTTTCTCACCTTTGACGGTGAGCAAGGCCTGCGGCGAGGTTTGGGGCGGGAAGCCCGTGCTGTTCACCACGCACTGGTAGCGGCCGGCGTCGGAGAGCTCGGTGAGGGGAATGATCAGCCGCTCACCCACGCTGTCCTCCTGGGGGCCGACCAAGCCAGCCAAACCGTCAGCCAGAGGCTTTCGTGCTGCACAACGAAATAAGGTTCTACACATACCGGAGTAAACAATTCAGCTCGTCCTTGCGCTGCTCCATTTTGATGTTCGTGTCGATGTTGTGTCCACAGAAATTATGTTAGTTATGTAACAGGACAGGACTCTCCTGCGATGCTTTCGACTGCTGGTGCTGTTTACAACCATCGATTCGTTGTGTCTGTGGCATTACGTATGCGCGATTGAACTGGCATGCTATGGCATGACCGCAAATGAGAACATTACCATTACGAATGCATAACTTCGCCAGCCCTCGTACAGCCAACGAGAGCCGGCGACCACCGCCACAACCATTATAACGCCGCCAGCGCTGGTCACCATCTCTGGGCATGTAAGCTGGACGGTAAATACCACTAACGCTGGTAACGGCGGACTGGCCAGCGCCGTCGCAGCGCTGGCTGACCGCTCGTCGAGGTCGCACCTGCGGGGCAGCGGACGGCAGCGGTCGGCCGTCCTTCAGCCAGGAGACGGACGACAGCAGGCGGTGGAGGCCGCGGTACTCGCAGCGCAGCTCTGAGCTGTCGCCCTCCTCCACCACCAGGTCAGTCGGGCCGGACACTAGCTCTGGGGGCCCTGGGGAGAACACTCCGGTCAGCAGGACACGTCACGCGGAACACCATCCCTGGAGGCCCTGGGGAGAACACTCAGGTCAGCAGGACAGGCGACGCGGGACACCAGCTCCCGGGGGCCCTGGGGAAAACACTCCGGTCACAGAGCACCAGTTCCGTGTGTCCTGAGGTAGACACTCGGGTCAGCAGGACAGGCGACGCAGGACACCAGCTCTGGGGGCCCTAAGGCAGACACTCGGGTCAGCAGGACAGGCGACGCAGGGCACCAGCTCTGGGGGCCCCAAGGCAGACACTCGGGTCAGCAGGACAGGCGACGCAGGGCACCAGCTCTGGGGGCCCTAAGGCAGACACTCGGGTCAGCAGGACAGGCGACGCAGGGCACCAGCTCTGGGGGCCCTGGGGAAAACGCTCCGGTCAGCAGGACACATGACGCAGAACACCACCTCCCGCGGCCCTGAGGCAGACTCAGGTTTCGTCTTCCGCCAGCCTTTGTCAACGTGAGAGCGATGACTGCCACTGTCTCGTGGTCCGCATGACTATGGAGTACCAATGCGTAAGTTCAACAACTTAAGTCACTTTGGTAACCTACTACACAGATATCTAACATGAGCACATTTACCTCGTCGAACCATTCCGCAATGTACGACATACTCACCAAAAACATACATACGAAAAAGGCAATCGTTCCGTAGTCACGGGCCGCCACAAATTCGCCCCACCAAAAGTCCAACATAGACATCAGTGCCGGATCTGTGAGCGTCTGCTGCCTGCCCCAGCACGGCACATCCCGGCGTGTACTGACCGGTGACCAGCAGGCGGACCTGCACGGTGCTGGTGCCGGCCAGGTTCTCAGCCACGCAGCTGTAGTTGCCAGACTGGTCGGGCCGCGCCGGACCCAGCGCCAGCAGTGCAGAGCCCCCGGGCGACATCTGCGGCAGCGGCGCCGGTCAGCCACCTGCGCGCTCCTGCGTATCTGCGCCCTCGTGCTGACGCCACACACCGGCCTGCGTCCACCCGCTGATACCACACACCGGTCTGCATCCATCCGCTGACGCCACATACCGGCTTACATCCACGCGCTGACGCCACACACCGGCCTACATCCACCCGGTGACGCCACACACCGGTCTGCCTCCACCCGCTGACGCCACACACCGGCTTACATCCACCCGCTGACGCCACACACCGGCCTACATCCACCCGCTGACGCCACACACCGGCCTGCGTCCTCCCGCTGACGCAAGACGGCGGCCACACTGCGCGGCCCGGCACGCACGCGGCAGTCACATGACGGTGCAGACCAAGGCCTGCAATGGGTAGCTACTGGTGCACCATCAATGCCCTGCACATCAAGCTCGATGTTCTCGCCATCTCTTCACACACACACTGAACGGCGCCGCGGGGGCGTGGTGTGGGGACTAGCGGGTCACGCGACATCAGCCTGTCAGGCTGGCGTGCTCAGCCCAGCCGACACCAACGCTGCCCGGCGGGCGCTGCTTCTGACCTGGCCGGGGTCGTTCAGGACGCGCCCGTCCGGCTGCTCCCACCAGACGGCTGGCGGCGGCCGGCCCTCTGGCGGCAGGCAGGCCAGCTGGAACGGCCTGCCCTGCGGCACCACGTGCAGCCCGGGCACCGGAGGCGCCGGCTCCACCGCCCGCTCCGTCAGCGGACTCAGGTCTGCCGCGCGCACGTGCCTCAGGTCAGTTCAGGTCACGCTACGCGCTCAGACGCGTGTCAGTTCAACGTTAAACTTGTTTTTGTCACGCCGATATGGATATGGCGCGCGGAAAGGTTGGCGCGACGCAAGACACCAGCATGATGCAACGGCATATCGGCTGGAGTCACATTTCTCACGTAACTGGCTAGTGGAGCCTTATGCTTACATGAAAAATGTAGCAAAGCATGACTACAGATCGGTTCTTCACATCTGTTAAGTTTTACAAAGTGCACTACTCATAACACTGAGCGGCCCATGTGGAGTGGTAACAGCGTGGAAGTATGCATCGCTTACCCATTCCAACGGGACTACAGACACAACAACGACCAGTGACGGCGGCTCCTCGAATAAAAATGGAATGAGCAAACAAGATCTACATTCGTGTTCGTGAATGCATGCCATAGATTTTACCCGACGCGACTGTTGGCTGAGTGGGGTAGGGCCAGGTCGTGGGTCGGCCGGCTGTGGCCGTGGGGTGGGCCAGGTTCCGGACCGACTGGCCGCGGCCGTGGGATGGGCCAGGTCGTGAGTCGGCCGGCTGCAGCCCCCGGGTGGAGAGGAGAGCGGGCCACTCACAGGCCAGCTGTAACCGGGCGCTGTAGGTCTGCGGCACGGCGGCGACGCCGGCCCTGCTGGCTCGGCAGAGGTACCAGCCGACGTCCGCCTCCGACACGTTCGACACCACCAGGGTGTGGTTGGCCAGCAGGATGCGTCTCCTGCGGAGCCGGTCCGACGGTCGGGCGTCAATCGCGAGGGCATCACCACACCGGCACAGGGCGTCATACCATCACACCGGGCGCCTCGCCATCCAGGAGTCACGGCGTCACAGAGCGGCGCGCCGCCACAGAACGCACCGACGCACACAATAGCACGTCGTCACACAACGCGTTACACCGTCAGACAGAGGGTCAAACGTCGCATCGTCATCGAGCATCGCAATGTCACAGGAAATCACACCGTCACAAGACCGTGCACGGGTTTGAGCCCAAAAACTGAGTCCGAGTCGGAGTCAAGATTTCCAGCCAGATTTCCACAGTAGCCTGTGTCCATTTCGTGAATTCGCGACTCAAAAGTGGGAACGCGTGTCAAAACGCAGGATTGCAACTGCCTGCGCGGGCTAAAAACGCAACCGGCTACCGATGCTGCTGTTTGATAACATGTGAAAATACCGACAAAGTCTGTGGAGATACGCCCTCGGCCACAATGAAACGTGGGTCGTCGCTTATGGTACGCGCTCACGTACCGAGAATGTTCCCGGACAACGCTAATTGAGAAGCCTCGTTCAGGGACCGTGGTGGTTAACTTCCAAATGTCACTGGTCGAAACACATAGCTGGCAGTCACTCTGTGGCGCACTCAGTCGGCGGTTGGACAGCCGGCACCCCGTGCCAAACTTCCGGAACGCTTCGGTTACACGCAGGCACACAAACGCCCACAAATCCAGGTCATGAAAGTGTGCCACTGCCACATGCACTCCTCGAGACGTGTGCGAGCGATGGCCTTTTCATTGACGTGGGTCGTGCCACCAACAACATCGCGCCTGCGAGACGTATAATGAAGGCAGCCCACTGACGATCGCAGCAACGCTGGGGTCAGCAGCATAGGGCGCGAGCGATGCCGCCCAAGCGGAGGTCGACGCCCGCTGTGAGCGGCCCTTCCGACGGGACCCAGACACGAGCGTCGGTCTCGACTCGACGAGCCGCCTGTCGACGCCGCCGACGGCTGTCAGCCAGCCGGGCAAACGCCGCCAAATCGATCCTGCCATCGGCACGGAAGTGGGCGGCGACAAGTTATGGCGATGGCGGCTGATAGTTTTGGTCTAGCAGCGCGGCGCGACGCCGCTGTAGGGTCATCTCAGCCGCTCAATCTCAGCCCCCCCCCCCCTTCCCCTCCCCTCCCTGCCGGCGGCTCAGCTCAGTGCGGGGGCGGGTGGGGGGGGGGGGGATGACGGCAGCAGAGGATCGGACAAAGGCCACTGACCGGGGTCAGCCACCGTTCGAGATGCGAGGTTTGACATGAGACAAGACGATGGGTGAGTGAAGTCTGCGTGAAGCTCAGCGTCGGATTGTCGTGAAATATAACTGAAGCTTTTATTTTTAACTTTAACTTCGATCGTTAATGTAACTTTATAACTTGGATCGGTACAAATGGCATCACCCCCTCCGATAGAAATCGCTAAGTTTTGTAACGCAATAACTGAAAACTGAATTAAAGATTTCACGGAAGACCTTAAGGCTGTGCGAATCGCGCTGAGGAGCGGAAAAGGTTTAGAAGCATCTTTCTCCGATATCACGTGTTTAATATATGTAAACGACGTATCGTGTAAAAGAACGCCGTCACGCTTCGAACTGAAAACATCTGAGTCAGTGTAAGTCATGCATGAAGACAGAGTTGACCACCACTACGTCGAGGGGTACACATTAAATCCAAATCCTATGGGAAGGAAATGGCTAAATAACACGACGTGCAGACGTTGAGCTGTGATTTGGATGGTATCCCACGAGACCGGCCGCCTCTGTGGCGTAGCGACAGGTGGTTAGTTCAAACGACAAGGCACCGAGCGCAGGTCACCCGGAACGTGCATACCGCCCGGACCAACTGCAACATCGCTTTTGACAGCATGCACATTATATAACGCGCACCCGGGTGGCCAGTTGAATACCGTTCACTCGGGTGGGGGCAGTTTAACCCCCTCCCCTCTCCCCCGAGGTCTGGTTAAGACAGTAGTGATAGCCTATTTCTCGAGAAAAAAAAAACAGGAGAATTGAGATATAGATTGGTCGATATTTCGGCAACAAGCTTTTATCAAAACAATAGCAGAATTGAATTAGAAATTGTCTGCCCACGATCCTACTTGATTTTTAGGTTTTTCAACAGCAAGTCACAGTTTTTACAGAGCAGCAACATTCCGGGGATTAAACAAAGAGAGATTGTCAGCCATTACTACGATACAATGCAAATCTAAGAATTCTAATACGCAAAAATACGTGTATATGCAAATGAATTCAAGCAAACAGGCATTACGCACCACGCTTCATTCAAACATGAAAGCGAGTTGAAGTAAACAGGTATCACACATCGTGCATCAGTTAAACATGTAAGCGATTTCAATTGAACAGGTATTACACATCGCGCATCTGGAAAAATTGAGCAGGATCATCGGCAGGCAATTTGAATTATTTTCTGCTATTGTTTCGATGCAGGTATGACACCGAAATATCAACTAAATCTATATCTCCATTCTCCCGTTTTTCTCCGAGAAACAGGACTATTTCTACGGTCTAACAATTCCCTGAAATCTCAGAAGCTAAGAAACCTCGAGACATCAAATTCATAGAATGCATTTTTCTGTACCTAAGCACACTTATCTTAAAATTTGGGGTTTCTAGGTCATGACCTTCAGGACAAAAAGTTCAAACAATGAAGAACTCCATATTGGTGTCTCAAGCACTCCCAGACCTTTGCATGCGACCACGGTGATATTAGATACCTGTTCTAAGCGATAGGCAACTGATGATACATTAAGGTCAGTGACCTTGTTTGACCTCTCTAAGGTCATTGCAACCAAATCATGCGAGGCTGCTTTGATTCTGCATTTGAAGAGGCGTCAAAGATTATGTTAGGCAGTATGTTCCTAAAAACAAGATGTTAACCTGGGTCATTTTAGGGCAGTCACTTATTCTGATATTTGAGAAGTTCATGGAAGATGTGTAATGCAGTTCCTGTCATCAAGAAATGGAAGATGAACACCAGAAACTTCTCCGTAGCAACTCTAGAGTACAAAAGCAGGTTGGTTTTGACCTTGGTCTGACTTTCATACTTGACCCTAGGTCAATGGGATTTGTCAATGCGGTTATTGTGTTGCACGAGCATTTATCTCAGAGATGTATGGCTTCATCCAATATTTCGTTGCCTTAGCGTATTGAATGATTCCCTAAGACTTGTCTTCGTTGAGTCCATGGCCTGACTTTGACCTGCCGCAGGTCAGCGACCTTACAGGTTACATATAAATTTGCAGATGCTTGACGATCCGCTAATAATTTTTTACAGCTGTGCAAAGTTTGGCACGACCGCGCCGCGCCGTTGGAAAATCATTTTGCAAAAAAAAAAAATATTCGGGGGTCAACTTGACCCCACCTGGGCGCGTGTTAACAGCTAATTCACGCCAACACCACCGGGCGAAATGGCGCACGCGGTCCGTCAACCCATTCAACAGGGCGCTTAGATGCCGTCATTTAACCACAACAACACAGGCTCTAACTAACGTCACAGGGATTACGGGTTTACATGTCGTTCCGGTCGTCTTCCTCGTTCGCCTAAACTCCGAAGACAGATGTTTGAGACCTTGTGCGGATCCTGTGCCGGACGTCGAGAATCAGGGTTATCTCTTGTGATCATCGCACATACGTGCGCTAAGCAGCACCGAGAGCCGCCCAGTCCAGCCCATAATAGGCGCAGTAGCCCGGCTACGGGAGCTACACAGCAGTAGCACGCTGCATATATTACAGGTTGGAACAAGTAAATTTTCCGTTTTTAATTACAACGCATCATTTTATCTCCATGTCCTACCCCCGCGATTTTGATGCTCAATGGCTGTTCCCATCTTGCCTAGTGAGCACCCTATGATAGTCCACGCCCTCCATATTTTTGTAAGCAGTTACCTCGAATGCTTTGCATGACTGGCTCTGGGTTCAGAGCGATTCCTAAGCACAGCTTGCTGTGTGCTCCCTTCACCCACCGCCCAAAATAGGACGAAAGCGGCCCTAGAAAGCCGCCCCAGACCGGGGTGAGCCTCCGCGGCCACCGGCCAGCTGAGCAGGGAGCACCACGTCACAGGTTTGTACCCAGTGCCGCCGGATTACAATCGAGGCTGCCTGCTCCAGACCCCGGGAGCCGTGAATGGCGGCCACAATACGCTGCTCACGCTGCGCCCTGCGCCGTTTCTTCTGTTCCCATGATTGGTACTGAGAGCGGGGAGTACAAACGTCGCGGCGGTCCATATCCTTTCACGACTTAAAACCACCTAGTGTGTGCATATTACATGCTAATTTACTTCATTCAAGCGGGCCCACCCTTTAATTCTCCGCCACGAGTCCACAGCACCGTTCCGTGTAATTCCATTGGGGGGGGGGGGGGGGGGAGGATACCCAGTCGCTCGTGTCTACGGCAAACCATCCTATCTTGGGCCGCGCCAGGTGCTGTTGTTGACATAGTGGGTAGTATCTTCCCCCTGGGACGCAGACGGCGTTGACCAGGAGCTCCATACCCATACATAGTAAAATCCATGATTCATCCATCTTCAGTTTTTGTTGACGGTTCACTTTCGCTCCATGTCCATTCCCCACACGATCGTGGGCAAGGAGTCGGATAAGGCCGCCACGGCGAAATTCAGCACCAATAATACAGGAAGCAAATTTTAATCTTTCTTCACCCCAAACGGATCTAATGTCGTATATTCTTTGTCTGTTAAAATGTGTCATAAGTTTTAAGTCGAGGCGTTTTCTTCATGTCTGTTAGTTTTGCTTTCGGTCACATTTATAACCTATCATGTTTTTTTTACTTCCTCCGTTAAAACGCGTAATCTTTCCGCGAGCCTTGCTCCGAAGACTACAACAGTTATTAAGTCTTCACACCAGCTGTAACTTTTTTTACCGGGTTGCACGCAGAATTATGCAAAATTGTTACTCCTAAACCAAACGATGACAGCGGTCGTCATGTCAGATGACAACTAGCTTCTCTGGCAGCTGAAGAGATTGAGAATGGCGCGGCAGGCCGATGTTGAAGAATTGGAAAAAAAACAATACAAGAGGTGATTTCAAAGTTAAAATTCGAAATTAGAAGTTGAAGAACCGCTGCGTGTCACGCTTTTACGGGACTCTAGATTAAGAGCACGCGATCCTCTGTCTTCACCACTGCCCATGGCAGAGGCCGACCGCGCCGAACGCCACTCAGCGCCGGCCGGGCAGCAGCCAGCACCGTCGCAGGATCGGCCGGCCGGCGATGGCGCTGCCCCGGCGGCCGCCCGCCCTGCCGTGTAATGTATGAGCACGCGCCGCCGCCGCCGCCGTCCGGCGCATCTCGTCCATTAGCCGAGCCGTGTCGGACAGCGCCGGCCGCGGCCTGACGTCTGGACCCGGCGCGGCCGGCGGCGCCAGCGCTGCATGGCAGGGGTGCGGCGCCGGCCGCCGCCGCCGCCGCCGCTGACGCCCGGCCCCGCCGCGCCGCAGAGCGGGCCCGGCCAGGACACCATCCAACGCGTGGGGTAGCTCAATACTGCATGCGTGGAAAGGCAAGTGCGAAGTGCCACGTCATGCTCGCCGCCGCGAACGTTCCTCAAGCACGCGCCTGTAGGTAACGATGAATAAACGCCGACAAAGGACGCCTCAATGAACGGTTCTGCCGACGACGAGGCTGCATAATGCATACAAGGGGCATCACCTTGTCAATTCGTCGAGAGATGGCGCTGATCACAATAATTGGAGCCCCAGACGGGTCGACAAGTTGGACCACTTCTGATGCACGAGGAGCTCGAAAGTAAATGCAAGCCAAGTGACAACGTTTTGCCAACACGATGTGCTGATTATGCTGCAGTAATGCTGAAGCAAGCAAGCAAACTACGCCTAAACCGGTGTCTTTGATCCGTTAGTACTGATAAAAGCCCAGGACAACTCCGGTTTAAATCTTGGCAATCGTAGCGCACGTCAGAAGGTGATTGTTGAAAAGCGGAGCCACAAAACGTACCTGTCAAACAACGTCTAACCTTTGGATGATTGTGGTGGACGCATGAGTAAGACGCGACGGCAAAGGCGGATCTAAGGGAGGAGCCATCGAGGGCCGTGCCCGTTTCATGGTGGGTTCAAGGGTGTCCCGCGAATAGGGAAAAACTACTTGGTCCTGTAATACTTACGACGGTCCCAAGGACTTGAAATCCCAAAGAACTTCATATGGTGTCGACTCGTAGAAATGACACGCAAAATGGAGACAACTTGCATGACATTTTCGCAACTGCAAGTTCTTCACGCTACTTCAGAAAAAATGCAACAGGGGCCAATGGCACCTCGGGGGTTGCATTATCATTGCTAGTACCTGAACACTGAGGCACTTTCGCACCTGGCGAGATCCCGGCTCGTCCTCTAACTCACGTGTCCATACCAACGAGCGTCCTCCATGCAAGTAGGAAACTGTTGGGAACATCGGAAGAGTGAGTTGGTAAAAGACCTCAACACCATCGTTATGGGACGACACTAAACGCTCAGCCACTGCAGTCGGGCGTCTTTGGGAACTAGACGCCCCATTGCACCTGCTGAACTTTGAACTGTGGCCTTCGCGGGTAGTGCTTGCGTTATCCAATCCACCCGCTACCCATGTAGGTGTACCCGTAGCTACCCGCTACCCATTCCTGCTCAGCGGTGCCCACTCGTTACCCGCTCCTTTGCATTTTTCAGAAGTCAAGTTTTAATTTATGGACGATCTTCAGGAGAATTTGCCCCAAAAGTTAATCCTCTGCATTAATTACGGCAAAAGTAGTGCCAGTGGAATAGCTATGACTAAAAGAGAACAAATAGTAACATTGTGTTTTTCTATTGAGGTATTTACACGACATTTCGTAAACATTCTACCCATCCAACCCGCGAAGTCATGTACTAGGAGCCCATGCAAACTCGAGGTTGGAACACAGCGTTTGGTGATTGCAATTCGAGACGGCAGCACAACTTTGCTAGGGGTGCCATCGGACCACGTCGAACTTCCAGCTGGGGGACGACCGCGGAAAACTCAACGGCCTTCATTTCAGCGAAGTCCTGGATTCTCCCTGGACGAACACGTGATGCATCCACAGCGGCGTGACGACATCAAACACCAACAGGAGCCCGTGCGAGCAGCCGCGCGCCTCAGACGGTGGACACTAAGGCTCCCACCACCCCTCACGGCGACAACATTATCACACCGGTGACAGGCTAGTCACAGTGCAAAGAGGCGGGCTCAAGCGCCCGCAGTCATCACCAGCGCCCAGATGCTGATCACTAGCGCCAAGGGGGTGATAGCAGCGCCGAGAGGCTGGCACAGCGCCAAGAATCTGACCACAGCGCCCGCGTTTCGTCACGACAGCGCGTTCGGTCAGGACAACAGGCGGTCACGGCGCCAGGCGCGGCGGACACCTCCATTCTCCGGACCAGCTCTTTGGTTGCTTGCCACGCGCGCACGTGCGGCGGGGGAGCGCGGCTGCGATCGACATCAGCTGACCCGCCGTCCAAAGGAGGGGAACGTTAGGAAACGGGGAACAAGGAAACGGGGGTCGTCAGGGAACGAAAGACGTCAGAGAGCTGGAGTCTTCTGTGGACGAGAGACGCGTAGGAATCTATGCACTCATGTGCGCGTTGGGAAAAGTGGGTCGTCCGGTAGGGAAAGATATCAGAGGACGGGAGACACCCGGAAGAAGGAAACGTGAGGGAACGAAATGCATCAGGCAACGAAAGATGACAGGTAATGGGAGGCGTCTGAGGCTTTTAGGGCAGGAAGCGTCAGGGAACGAGAAGTATCACGGAGCGGGAGATTGCAGGGCAAGAGGGACGTCAGTGAAGGCTCATGTCATAGGTTTGAACAGGCAACGCACGATGTCACATAACACGACACGTCAGGAGTGGGAGAATTCAGAGAATGGGAGCCCTGTTCACGAATAGAATTTCACTGCTTGAGAACTCATTCACACACATTTCCTTACATTGCCTCTTCATTATGTGCGCGCCTGCACATGACGTGTCGATGACAGATGTATGCACGAGACGCCAAGCTGCTCCGGCCCGGGAACAGCTTAGCTTAGGGAGACTAGGTTTGTTTACGCTAAGCTTGATCAGGCTAGGCTAGGCTTAACTGGGCTAGGATAGGCTAGGATGGGACAGGACAGGCTAGGATAAGCTAGGCTAGGTTCGGCTAGGATAGATTTGACTCGGCTCGGCTCGGCTAGGCTAGGCTGGGCTGGGCTACGGGTGTCAATTTGTATTATTTTGTGAAGGCCCTGGCCCACCTCCCGATGTCGAGTTGTCCCTTTCTCAATGTTAGCTTGGCCCCCAACGTTTTTGGTTCTAATGCTACAAAAACGTGGTTTAAAGATGATCATTACACAGAGACTACCTTTTTTCAATTTCTGCGTAGTGACATCTCGTACCACTCTCATAACAAAATGTCGTGGTTACATTCACCACAAGATAAATATAGTGCGGATAAACGATGCAATAACCTGAATATACTTAGCGCCATAGACACGCAATGGTTTGTGAGGTTTAGGTGAAAAGCTCTGGAATATGGGGATGACTCAAGTCCTTCATGGCTATCTATCCTCGTCCCCGTCCGCAAAACCAAAATGCATGTCGTCTCCAATTACCGTCATAGAAGAGCTCCATCGGCGCCCTAATGTGCCCTCTAAAGGGACGCCTCTAAAGGGACGCCTCCACGTGCCGATCAGAACAGACGCGTGCGTCCAGTGCCTGCGCCCTGGATCCAACCCTGCATGACTTCTATGCCGCTTAGATTAAATACTTTTGCAAATTATACGAAGATTAAAAACACACACTACGTTTAATAAAAATAAAGGGGGCTAAATACGGTGAGAAAAAATGGGGCGTAGCTTGTCGGGCCTTCGGTTCGTCCCCCCCCCCAATAATTTACCAAAATTGACATCACTGGGCTGGGCTAAGCTAGGATAGGCTAGGCTAGACTAGGCTAGGCTAGACTAGGCTAGGCTAGACTAGGCTAGGCTAGGCTAGGCTAGGCTAGGCTAGGCTAGGCTAGGCTAGGCTAGGCTAGGCTAGGCTAGGCTAGGCTAGGCTAGGCTAGGCTAGGCTAGGCTAAGCTAGGCTAGGCTGCAGGCTGCTCTGCTTACCCGTCGCTGGTGAGCGGGTCCTGACCATTGAAGGACCAGTGGACAGCGTTGGCGTGCTGGTACTGACAGTGGAAGTGAGCGGTGCCCCGCCTGCGCACCAGCTGGTCACGGGGCACCACCGTAATCCGGGCAGCCGTCTCACCTGACGCACAGCATCGGCCAGCGTCAGCATCGGCCACGGCGTCAGCACCGGCCACAGCGTCAGCATCGGCCACGGCGTCAGCACCGGCCACAGTATCAGCATCGGCCACGGCGTCAGCACAGGTCACAGTGTCAGTACCGGCCACGGCGTCAGCACCGGCCACAGCGTCAGCATCGGCCACGGCGTCAGCACAGGTCACAGTGTCAGTACCGGCCGCGGCGTCAGCACCGGCCACAGCGTCAGCATCGGCCACGGCGTCAGCACAGGTCACAGTGTCAGTACCGGCCGCAGCGTCAGCACCGGCCGCACCGTCAGCATCGGCCACGGCGCCAGCATCGGCCGCAGCGTCAGCATCGGCCACGGCGTCAGCACCGGCCACGGCGCCAGCATCGGCCGCAGCGTCAGCATCGGCCACGGCGTCAGCACCGGCCACGGTGTCAGCACCGGCCGCGGCGTCAACGTCAGCTCGTAACAGAGGGCTGAAGCACAGGCTCCAACGGCAACGCGGAGACGACACAGCTTTCAACATGGGCTACAGCAAGACTTGGAGCACGGACTGCAATCCCAGGCGCCGCAAGCCCCATAGCACAGCCTACGACACAGGCTGCATCGGATCCTGCTCTACACAGGTGTCAAAGCTGCCAGGTTTGGAACGTTTCTCCTGCTAAACCTATGACCCTTACATGCGGGATGTGGACACCATCACCAGTTTTTCTGCCTGCCCAAAGTAAAACAGGAATGCTATCTCGCGTACAGGTTTGACTCGATGACGTCTTTTTATGAGGTAGCTCATTAACATACACGTGTATGTATTCAGCAATATATATATATATATATATATATATATATATATATATATACATACATATTCGTACATCATAAACGGAGGCCGTGGTCTCTCAACCAATGTAAACACAAGTCACAGGCTCACGCCGACAGATGATGTCAGCCTACGCCACCATAGACGTTGTCACCACGTAAAAACACGCCGGTGACGCACGGCACACCTCTCCCGCCGCACCATGTGCAGCTCACGCGTGCACGTCAAGGGTCGGTTGCCACAGGAAAGCGCAAACATGTTCATCCACATGCCAACATACACCCTCGCGATTTGAAGGCAGGAAACGCTCCGTACCTCATGTACGAGACTGGTAGGTACATCGTGATGCGAGCATATCGGTTGCTGCTAATAAACAACGGCACTACGGGGCACGTGTGGTCTTAGAATGCGGGCAGAAAGGCCGGGTCCGTGGCCCAGACCACACTTGGCATAGCCTTCACGCGGGAGCACCACATGACACTCGATGGCGGAGCGCACCCACGGCCACTTGACGGGGAGGCACAGGACCACACGCGCGCCTGGTCTGAAACTCTGACACACAGCGCTAATGTCAACTGCGATTTGGGGAGGGGGCACGCGCCGGGTTGTCCCCCTGCAACGCCTGTGTGCCCGCTACGAACCCGCCCGTGTCCCCGGCTGGCTGTCAGCTGTCCGGAGTCAGTGGCCGCCAGCGCCCCGGTTACGTCATCCCGCTGACACGTCACTGGCCCGCAGCAGCGCACCCCGGACCGCCCTGACCCAGAGGCCGCCCGAGCGCCACCAGGCATCCCGCTGCATCAGTCTGGCACGGACTCAGCCGTGCTTGTTTTGGCGCTGCCATTTGAGGTCCGGTTAAACAAGAACGGGGGAGGGGCACTAAACACATGTGAGCTAAGATGCTGGGAAGGGTTCCGGACACATCTGAATGGGAGGTACGAACGAGGTTGGCCGTCTTGAGAACATGACGGATTGTTAGCGTCGACCAGACACTGACTACGGATTCAGCTGGATTCCCGCTCAAGAATGTTATGGACTCCCCTCACTCGAGACCGTTACGGAGTCTCGTTCGGGGAGGTTATCTTGTGCGGTTCATGCTTCAAACAACAGGCACAGTTTGCCACCCTGCATCGTTGTCGATCTCAGCCACTGTCGTTTGTCAACTCGATTAGCTCCGCCAGCGCCCCCAGAACAAAACCGCTGGACAGGACAGCTGCATGTCTTCACCGCTGCCGCAGCCGCAATGGCAACACGCACGCGATGGCAACCAACGAGCGAAACCGCAGTAATGGCCATTCAGCGCCGCAGTCCGTCTGTTTATTATGGATCCCGGGTTGCCGCAAGGAATGTGTCCCTGCGGTGATAAATCGTGTCGGCCTGGGACAGGGTGGCGACAGGCTGCGATGCTAATGGTGTGCGGCGGTGTCCAGAGCCGTCCGTCGACGCGGGGCTGGAGGTCAGCCACCGCACCGTGCCGCTCGCGTGCTGCGACCGTCAGGCGGGTGCGTCATGCCCGTAGCTATGTCATGACGCGGGTGCGCTGGCACGTCGTTGTCGCGTGCTGCCAGCGGTCTGGTGTGCCGGATGGTCACAATGCTGGTCCCCTGGCTTGTAAACGAACACAAGTCGGGAGAGTACGCTGTCGCTAAATCCCCAGTGAGGGGACCTCCCCGCCGCAGCCGCTGGGTAATCCAGTCTGCTAGTCAAGTGTGGCATCCTCGGACACAAGCGTGACATTATCCGGCAAACACAGCCGCTGCCTGTGAGATGGAGCAGGGCACTGGACATCGGCTGTGCCTCGCAACCGACGCCGGAGCTGCTCGGCACTCACTGAACATCGCCGGCGGGATTGAGACAGCACTGGGCACCAGCTCAACACTCACTGGGCAGTCATCGGACACTCACCGCGCACGCCCTGAGTATTCACCTGACACCCAGCGAACACTCACTTCTGGCACGCACTGGACACCCACTGACCACACCATGCACGTGACCTGTGCCCAAACAACACAAGCAACGGACGCCCGCTGGGTGTGCACCGGCCGGTGTGTAGCGTTACCTTACTCACCCACCGGTGCCTCGTCAGACGCCACCCAGGGACCGAAGCTACTCGGCCCTGAGTGGACACCACCAGTGAGCACATGACGTCATTGGACACCATGGACACGTCACCAGCATCTGACCCAGTTGCTACTCACTGGGCACCACCAGCGGCAGTGTGACGTCACTGGTTGTGGCGCCCGCGTCGTTGGTGACGCTGCACGAGTAGACGCCGCCGTCGGCCGGCTGCGCGCCGCTCAGCTGGAGGCGTTTGTTGCGCAGCGTCAGCCGCGGCGCGCTCTCCAGCCGCTGGCCGTTGCGGTACCAGCGGTAGACAAGGTGGCCGGAGCCGGCAGCGCGGCAGCGCAGCACCACGTCCTGGCCGGGCCGCACGGCGGCCGGCGACGCCGGCGACTGCAGCTGCACCCGAGCCGTCCGGTCCAGCCCTGCGGGTGGGTGCCGGCCGTCAGCGGGGCAGGGTCATCGGCGGAGAGGCCGGGTCACTGACGGAGAGGCTGGGTCACCGACGGGGAGGCAAAGTCGCCGACGGAGAGACAGGGTCACTGACGGAGAGGCAGGGTCACCGGCGGGGAGGCAAAGTCGCCGACGGAGAGACAGGGTCACTGACGGAGAGGCAGGGTCACCGGCGGGGAGGCAAAGTCGCCGACGGAGAGACAGGGTCACTGACGGAGAGGCAGGGTCACCGGCGGGGAGGCAAAGTCGCCGACGGAGAGACAGGGTCACTGACGGAGAGGCAGGGTCACCGGCGGGGAGGCAATCACTGACGGAGAGACAGGGTAACCGACGAAGAGGCAGGGTCACTGACGGAGAGGCAGGGTCACGGCGGAGAGGCAGGGTCATTGACGGAGAGGCAGGGTCACCGACGGAGAGGCAGGGTTACCGACGGAGAGGCAGGGTCACCGACGGAGAGGCACGGTCACTGACGGAGAGGCAGGGTCACGGCGGAGAGGCAGGGTCACTGACGGAGAGGCAGGGTCACTGACGGAAAGGCAGGGTCCCAGGCGGAGGGTCCCGGACGGAGAAACAGAACGACGGAACCTTTACGGGGAGGTGAGGTCGCAGACGAGAGGCAGGGTCACGGACGGAAGGGCAGGGAGTCAGTGGCGCAGACGGCAGGACGGGAGGCAGGATCGCAGTTGGGTTTCCCAGACGAGAAGGCAGTGTCACGTATGGGGAGGGAAAGCCGGACACACGGAGACAACCTCGTGGAAAACACGACTACAGTGACATGAACCATGAAGGAGGCATGAGCCACGAGGCAGACGCGGAACATGAAAATGACAAGGGCCTCGGGGAAACATCAACTGCAAGGCAGACTCGGCGCGTGGCAGGGACCCGGGCCGCGAGAACAGAGGCCGTGAGGAAAACAGGAAAGAAATGACGACTTCTGAGTGACTGCGGATAAACTCTTCCCGCCGTGCCCGGCCCTGACAGCCCTGGTAGCAACCTCAGTAGTTCACTTCAACAGCGTTTCATCGCGCCGCCTTCAGTGACCAATCCGGCAGTGCTATCGGCGTGCTATCGGCCCGCAATGGCGCATTAGAGTCAGCCGAGTACACAGGCGGCATTGCAGGTGTGATGAAGGCGGCAGATACCCCTGTCTGGCGCTGCTGTCCTGTCAACACGTATTGACGCAACAGTGCTTCCCGACGAAGCATTGTCTATGAGTCACACAGGGTATTTTTTCTTTTGTGGGCATTCACCGCTTGGAAGAATGTCTGTGGGTTTGTGCAGCCGCTGAGTCCCATGACACACGAAACATCACATATTCAAGGACGAGGTACATGCACTCTTCGACGTGGACACCCCGCGCGACAGTGCTATTCAAGATATCGCTGACCTGAGCTAACCGCAGCTGTGTGGCGACCCGGCCGCCAGGCCTGAGAGACAAATGCCCGGCCACTCTCCGTCCATGACGCGTCTGCTCCCGGGCAGCATTCGACAGATCTGAGCGAACCCAGTTCAGGCAGCAGACCGAGCTGCTCGTGACGGGGCTTCAGCGGTCTCAGTTGTTGGCAGGGGTGCGGAAAGGCCGCGGGGAGAGCGCGAGTCCATGTGCCGTCGTCAGGCCTCCACCCACGCGAGAGCGGCGGCTGGGAACCAAGCAGTGGCGGACAGCGCGGGCGTGGCGGGTGAGTGCGCCAAGACGGGCGACGCGCCTCCGCCGCCGACGCGCGCCCACGCCCACCGATCGCGGTCTGACCCGTCGAGGGTGAAACGTTTCATGGATCTGGAGGTGCCCCTGGAATCGGCGCGCGCTGGGTAGAGAATATCGGCTTGAGATCTTGAAGTGCCCACTTGGGCTTCAAGTCTGCGTGTCTCCCTCAACAGTTTTGAAGGGTTTTCCCGCTGAAGTAGACCGTGAACCTACTACACTACTACTACACAGAGAACCCCTTGCCCCATGCCGAAGGCGACTGACACCGCCACCTGCATCACATCTGCTAGTAACATTGGGCATCCCACTGTCATCCCGCGCCACACAGCGGACAATCTGCAGATCTGACACGCTGCCCCATTCAGCCAGCGACACAGCAGACGAGGCCGGCAGCACCGGACCAACTACCTCTGCCAGACGCTGTGCCGCCCGCCCAGCGACCCGCCCGGTCATCAGGCCCGTCCTCTCACACGGCGGCGAAATCCGAGACGGCTGCTGTAATCTGACGGCCGGCGGCGAGGGGAGCAGGGACCGCCCGCGGCGCAGGCGCGGCCAATCCCACACGACTCAGCGGGCTGGCTGCCCCAGCCCACCAGAGCAAGCATACTGGCTGTGGGTGGAGAGCAGGGACCGCCCCAGAATGCGGCGCATCCGCGACTGTGTAACTCTGACGTCCACGACAGGCCTATGCCGCTGAATTTAGTGCAATCAGCACGCATCAGCATGCAATGGTGCATGTTTGCAGCTGCACGCATTCTTCATTCCGGACGCCGGCGATTCTCATGTTCTTGACATCGAGCAATAAATCATATGACGCTCGGCGGCCCACCGCCACAGTGCCCCACCGCCACAGTGCGCCACCGCCACAGTGGCCCGCCGCCACAATGTCCCGCCGCCACAATGTCCCACTGCCACAGTGTCCCACCGCCAGTGCTCAACCGCCACAGTGCCCAACCGCCATAGTGTCCCACCGCTACAGTGCCCCATCGCCAGTGTCCCATCGCCGCAGTGTCCCACCGCCACAGTGTCCCACCGCCCTTCTCCCGGACGTCGTCGGTGGGGTATTGTCCGTCCGGCCGGTGAGTTAAACCTGAGCCACCAGGACCGCCCTGTCTGAGGCCGCCCCTCTGACCCCGGTCAGTCTGGCCCGGGCCCCGGCTGACGCCGGCCAGTCTGACCAGGGTCTTGTCTAACCCAGGCCAGTTGTCTGGCCCGGGTCAAGGTGATACGGGTCCAGCTGACCCCGTCCCCGCCTGCCGGTGACCACGCCGCCACCGTCCCCGGCACCGGCGGACGGACGGCGACACGGCCGGTCGGTACGGGTCGTTGTGCGCCCCCTGCCGCTACCGGCGCCGGTCGGCGGGGCGCGCGGCCCCGACCCCCGCCGGCCAGCGCACGAGTGCTGAATACGCGCTCAGATGAGTCGGGCCGGCGCAGCGGGGGCCGCCGGCCGATCAGTGGACCGCGCCGGGCGCGGGCAGAGCGAGGCTCCAGGGCGGACACGGGCCACTCCAGGCTCCAGAGCGGACACTGGCTACTCCCGACTCCAGGGCGGACACTGGCCACTCCAGGCTCTCGGGCAGACACTGGCCACCCCAGCTCCAGGGCGAACTCAGGACACTCCAGGCTCCAGGGCGAACACAGGCCACTCCAGGCTCTCGGGCAGACACTGGCCGCCCCAGCTCCAGGGCGGACACAGGACACTCCAGGCTCCAGGGCAGACACAAATCTACCGGTCGGCAGGTGCCGCACACGCGCAGCAGCTCCAGCTCCAGCTCCAGCTACCGCGGGTGGGATTTCGCTGGATCGGCGAAGCTAGCACGTTGGCTGTCCCGTGGCAGTGGGTCGGACAGCTAAAGACACGGCAGGGCTACTCCTGGTATCGGTTCATAAGCCTGCAGAAGCCGACAGCAGGAAAGCGCCGCCTGGCGACGAATGTCGGCGCCGAACGGCGCCACTGCGAATGCCGACACGTTTTATAGGTGGTACACATGAGGTGCAAGTGACAGGTTTATGTGTAGACCAATTTATAGCACATTACAAAGTGGCGCCGTCCTCTCCACGTGTTGCAGACAGCGCTGGCCAAAGAACGTGATGGACACGAATGCCGGACGGAAAAATGGACGCCGGTCACCGCGGAGGACACTTCGGCATGTGACGTGACTCAGGCGCCGGGCGACAGGAGTGTCCCGCGAGCGCTGCCGGTCGGGCCGCCTGGATACGCTCACTGGCGCCCTCTCGGCCGTCACAGCTCACCTGGGCCGTGTCGGCGGCCATACACGGACCGAGGCGTTATCGTCAGCACCGGCCCGCGCCCGGCTAGTCGCAACAAACGGCTCGGCGGGGGCGTGCCGTTTACACGCGCCGGCCGGCTGAGCCGGAGCGCCGCTAACAGGGGCCACGCGGCGCGCTGACGCTGCACGGTCCAGGAGGCGGCGGGGAGGGCCCGGCCCCCTCCCCTGTCAGGGGAGGGGGCTGGGCCGGCCGCGGACACGCGTCGAACGGGAACGGAACGGAAGAGGCGGCAGCACCGCCCCTCAAATGCCGAACATAAAATAAGGATAAAGTAGGCAACAAAAGTTGGATCATACCTGCCCTGAAGAGCCTCCGCAGAGATCAGTCAGGCCAGACGTCACCACGAGTAAGCCGAGCAAACAAATAACGCCGAAGTTGGTTTACGCCGAACAAGCAAATACGAGTGCTGCAAGGAAGACGACACACACGCCCAAAAACAGTGACTGAAATAGATGCGAAGATCGGGGTGAAGCCCCGAATGGTCCCTGCTTCTTTTTTATAGAAAATTTGACCAATGGCGTGTGACATACAGCGAAACAGAGGAGAACCAGTCAGCGAGCGCGCGCAGCCCAGTGATGGGCTGGCTCGCGTCCGATGGCGGCCGACGGCCGCCGGCTGCGGCAGAGCTGATCCGTCCGCCGTCGGATCATAGTTGCAGTCAGCTGACACGGCAGTCAGCAGTCCGCTGGCCCGAAACACACCCGCCGAGACTGGGACAGCCGTAGACCGCGCACCGACAGCGGCGGTGTGCAAAGGAAGAGGGGCGTCACTTATCCTTGGGAGTATGTCAAGCCACTCAGTCCGCCGACCAGAAGGCAGATCCGCGCACGGCTCAGACGCACTGCCTTGTGCGGGCGTAGTTAGTCCACTCTCAGCCAGAAGCCCATCCTTGAAGCCCGCATGTTCTGTAATTGGACGCGGCAGCCGCAGCCACGCAGACTCCCGTGCTGGACAGGCTGCCCAGCACGACGG